AAATTCTCCTTGTTAGCAATTAGGAAATGTATAGAGAACAGAATAGAGAATATGCATACTGCTTTTTAGGTCTAAAGTGTTAATTTAAGGAGAATTATCCATTTGTTTTGTTTTTTTCTCAGTGTTTTGAGCCATGTAATGGGAATCCAATCCTGGAGCTTGCTGCTATTAAAAACAACTTTCACCTCCTGCATTGGACTTGTTGCACTTCAACTGTACCTGACACTAACTGCTGGGAAACAGATCAGGACTTAAAGAGCTTCTATGTACAGTCAATCCTTAAATAAGAGCCGATCCTATCAACCATGTCATATAATATATTCTACAAAAACAACCAAACAGTGAAATGGTCTCAAATTTTTGTTTCACTGACACAATTGTGTTCTTTGATGAATCCTATCAAGGCCTTAGATTTGTCACACATAATCAGTAAGGGAGCAATCCAAATTATTTCCAGATGTGAGGCACTATTTCATCATTCTCTATGGACTGAATTCAGTTACATCTTAACATGTCTTGCATCTAGATTTGAATCTGTCCATTATTTTTAAGGCCACAAATGAGTTAGAAACAAGTGACAAAAGGTGGCCAAAAAGGTCATTCAGCCTTTTGATCCTGTATTTCAGTTCTCTTTTAAATTAAGGTACCCATGTTGCTTAATCAAAGAGTTGTAGTTACTGTTACTTGTATTTATTGAAACATTTCAAATGCATAAGTCAGCATAACACCAAATGCATTTAATATCAGGAGTTATCACAACTGTGAATTCAGCTTCTTTAATTAGGCCAGTTACAGGTGTAATATTCTAGTGTTCTTAAGATACTTATTTTCTTGTTTCTCATGTGGAAACTGGACATTGCTTATTTCTATTAAATAACCTCTACCACTCCATTTTGTTTTTGTTTGCCAGTTTTTGTTTAGTTTTTTCATGACTATCCAACTGGTTTGTGAATACATTTTTGGTGCATTAAATTAATCATGACAACTTGAATGTTAAGTAAATTTTATCCTCCTCAGAACTCTCTAGACTTCTTCACTGAGTTAAATAAATGTGAAACAAGGAAACATTTTTACCCCTTTCACCTTCTTTCTTTCCTAGTCTTTCAACTCTTGAATTTTTGTCTCCTTGGGTTGTAAACTGAAGAAAGATACTGTAAACATTACAAAATCTTTTCACTGTCAGGCATTGTGGCACATTTTGTGGGCTCAAAGGGAGCAAATTTGGTGGGCTTAAATGTATTTCAGCCCACTTTCACAATTGTTCAGACTGTTTGTAGTCATTCTTTTTAGTTTTTACTTTCCCAGTGCCCTCAAACTAATAATAATGGTAATACAGTGGCTCAGGCTTACATGATTCTGATACAGGTACAAAATATGTTTCTGCCCAAGAAGATATTGACTATTGCTTTACTAGCCATCAAGACTATACTAGCCAACTAATGTTTCACTGGAGTATCTGGAGAGTTCTACAACGGGCCTTTTGATCCAACCATTCTAGCTCAAAACAGTAATCCCAACATTTAAAGAGCCTTTTTGGAGACTTAACAATATTTATCTTCTGTGTTTTGCAGGCTTTTCCGGTCAATTCAAACATGGCCTTTGCTATGGTAAATTATTATTTTTGTAACTGTTACAGTCAAAAGAGGGTTAGTTCTTGCATACATGCAAGTTAGACATAAAGTTTAGTGGTCCATCAGTTTAGTGCAACTGTCAATCGGCATTAACCCTTTAAACCCTAAGAATAACCAGCATCAAGTTTCTCCTTACAATAATACTGCTGAATCATTCATTTAAGATCATGTGAATAAGGGAAATGATCACCAACTAAAGAAGCTCTCGATTGTTAAACAAATTCTCCTTGTCAGCACATTAGGAAATGTAAAGCTAACAGTATGGAGAATAAAAATACTTGTTTTAAGGTGGAAAGAGTTAAAGAGTCCAATTCTGGAAAAAAGAACATCTCTTATCTGGCATTTCAAACAATTCAAGAGAGCGTCCTGACTTTTTGTGCTAATTTTGTCTGGAAAATTTGAGACCTTGCTTCTTTAATATACTGATTCTAGTCATAATAGAAAACAACTCACAGCAGACAGGAATGTGGCTGGGTCAGTGGAAGAAAAGTGAGAGTGGTGGCAAGAAAAGCACTTGGGCCCATTCCACTGTGTGATACTTTCATTGTGAAATGACTATCACACAACTCGCATTATAACATAGCTAGTAAATTTGTCTAATCAAATTCAATTATGTGAGCATGCTTCATGTTCCTATTGTGCACACTCATGATGTCAGCAAACAAATCCCTTGAGAAAAAAAATTTCCATTGGGTTGAAAATGTTATAAAACAATTGGTTCATACATCAGCTGTGTGTTCATCGAGATATGAAGCACTTGGGAAGTTTGGAGAGCACTCAAGAAGCTAAAGTTGCTCTTGGCTACGCCTCGAGCAACTCTTACGCATCTTTCATGCTCTCCAAACTTCCCATGTACTTCATATCTCGATGAACACACGCTGACGTAAGAACCAATTGTTAAAAAGTACACAGCAATTCTGCATACCAAACATCTAATAAGATTTACATGATAATTTGAATTGTACATGAACATGCGTTTTAGTTGGTTCTTTCTTGTGACCTATTGGAGGATAGACACATAATCATGTCAACACTTGCTTTTTTTTGTCAAATAAAACAAATGCATTCCATGTTGCCATGGGTCTGTAGAAAACGTGCTAAAAATATCAGCAAGACACTTGGCTGTGCCTCGTGTGCCACTTTACAGTTCTCATCAATTTTTTATGTCATCTACAATCTATTACTAAACAGATGCACTAAAACACAGAATCTACAAAATAAAATTACAGTGGGAAGTAATTAGAAAGCAAACTTCTCTTCAGATTTTTCCTATAGGTTAGTAGTGCTTATTAAAAATGCAAAATAATCAGTTAAATCAACACTTTTTGAGATGTGATTTTATTCTAGAGAATTACAGTGATTTAAATGAGCCCCGTTTCATTACAAATAATACACAGAACAAGAGGCACAATCCAAATATCTTCTTGTTGCCTTCAGTTCAACACACTCATCGTACCATCACCGATAAAAAGTTAATCAAAGTACAGTCTCCTGTCTTATGCGCTGGCTTCATCAAAGTCAAACTTTGGAAACTCCTCCAGATTTCCTCCGCCAAATCGCTTTCGTATCTGATCCATCTCTACCTCCATTTTAGCTTTCTTGTCGGGTGTGAAGTCGACCAATTCGTCCCCTGAGGCTGCGCTCTTCTTTTTGTACTCTTGTAACTTCTCCACGAACAGTTTCTGTATGGGATCAACACTCTTGTCCGCTTTTGCCATTAAGACAGATGCCATACCCAGGTTTCTTCTACAAGAGGCCATAAGTGACCCTGCTGTTTGTGAAAGCTGTCGTGTAAAGCGAAAAGCTACCGCCATTTTGTAGATTACGACGCAAAACTCAATATTTCAAAATGGCGAACCCTGTGGAACAGTGGCCTCGCTTTGAAACGAAGATCATTAGTTACCAGCCCTTCGGTACGTGTAGTAATCTCGGTCAATATGGCGGACGCAGCGCGAGTCGTAAAAGTTGGTTCACGCAAGAGTCAGGTATGTTGGTAGACGCTTAAAAGTAATTACTGTGGCAATAAATTCATTTTTTAGGAGATAAATTTCTTATTTGTGGCGTCTTAAGTCCAAAAACTCGATGTGTTTGTCTTTGTACAGAGATTCTGTATGCTTGAAGTCAAATACTATGAAGTTAAAAATTCTTTCCGGTTCTAGAAAATGTTTAAATTGGGACAGGATTCGATCGATCTCGTGAGTTTTACGCCTAAAAAAAATTTAAACAAAGATATTGATGTAAAAATATGGCACTACAACGTCTAATTAAGTGTATTGGTTTCAACGTACGATTTGAAGATGTATTCGCAACAGATTTTGGTGTTGGGGAAGGGGGTCGGTTAGGGTGTGGCGGGCTGTGATGAAAAGAAAACGGAATAGCTTATTTTCAGTGGTTGTAAGTGTACCTCATAGCATTATTTTAATGAACTATATATACTGTTAGCCGTGTTTTTGTTTGATTGAACAGAACAAGGCCAATATCTGGCCATCTTGACTTCTTGCCAATTTAAATGTTAGTGGATACTTATCAGAAGGTAACCAACGTAGACTTTATTTCATGCAGTTTTTTTATTTACTTTTATAAAGTTGGCTCTTATTCAAACTAATGTCATTGTGGATGAACTGAAGAAGCTTTGGCCAAACACTTCATTTGAAATTGGTGAGTTTTTTCTTTTTTTGTTTCATCTACATTTATTGGGAAGTTTTATCTTTGAATTAAATCAAGTGTGATCAGTTTGTTAAGTCTGTATATGAAGCTGACTCACATGGCTTCTAGAACATAGGATAGTTTCTGCAGTGTCTGGAATCACCTTTTTTTTCCTTTTCAATTGTAAGCTGCAGTTCAATTTTAAGTTACCCCTCAGAATTTTTCAGGATTCCCTGGAAGTTTTGCTATGACCCATTTTTTTCTCCTGGGAGGAGAAAGGTAATGTGTTCTTTCCCAGGAAAACAGCACAATGGCTCTGGATCAATCTTAAAGTTTTCCATGCAGAGTCTAGTACTGTAACCATTAGAATTTAATTTCTGTCTTTCTCCGTGCCCTAACATTACCTCCAGTTAACCTTTTAACTTCCGCAGGTGACCAAGACAGAATTTTTTCCTTACAATGTCAATAAAACATCAAGCAGAGAAGAGAGGAGAATAAAGAAATATTTTAATTAAGGGACTATTAGTTGATCTAACACCAAATTCTCCAAATCAGCATCATAGGAATTGTATCACAGACAGTAAGAAGAATTACTCTTGAGATTGTGGGAGTGAAAGGATTAAGAGTTACTGACTCTTAACCCTTGACCCTTGGTTCATCCTGCACACAATGTGACCAATTGATGGTTGTTTTTACTTTGTTTCCCCTTAGTTTCCATGTCTACCATAGGAGATAACATTTTAGAAAAACCATTACCCAAGGTTAGTGGTACATGTATATGACTGAGACATGATTGTATCAATATGTTAAATAAGTAATTCTGTGCTGCTTGTTTTAATTAGATAAAAGATGACCATACTAATTTTAAAGTAGAACCCAGTCATCCCTTAATCCTTTAACTCCCATGAGTGACCAAGACAGAATTTCTCCTTACATTTTCAATACAATATCAAGCAGACAAGTGATAAGAATTAGGAAAAATATCAACCAGAGGATTACTAGTTGATCCCATACAAAATTCTCCAAACTAACATCAGAAAAATTGTATGGTAGACAGTGTGGAGAATTACTATTGTGATCTGGGAGTGAAAGGGTTAAACCTCCCTTACAATTACCAATGTTTTGCCATAAGAAGGAAAACTCATCTGAAATTTTATCTTACCTGAGACACCATGACCCTGTGCTTGTTACTGTTTTCTTTTTTATGAAACATTCTCTAATTTTCCAACCACTCACACAATTGAAATGGAACCAAGTAGTCACAGTCCTTAAATAAAGGGGCCCTATTCTCTTTTGACCTTCATTTGAATAAGGACACCATAAATTATAATTTTTGATTAAAGAAAATTAAAGTAATTTATTGAAAAACTCTCTTATTCAGTTTCAATATTGTCAACATGCCTACATATCTTATAATATGACTGAATTTTTTTAACTTTAGATTGGAGAAAAAAGTGTATTTACAAAGGAATTAGAAGTCGCCTTGGCAAATAAAAGGTAGGTACATTTAGTGGTTCTACTCCATAAGATTAATGTCACCTACTTCCAATCATTAAACTCACTCCAAACTGAAAACAACTGTCACCTGATTGATGTTGCTTAACATTTCCTCTTATAGGCTTCATGTAGTTTTATTTCTGATTGCAAATTTTGATTACTTTATATTAGTTTTATAGAAGAACAATTTCTCTTTTAAGGAGTTCTTTTTGTTTGTTCTTAGTGTGGATTTTGTAGTTCATTCACTGAAGGATCTTCCATCCACTCTTCCACCAGGAATGTTAATTGGGGCTGTCTTCAGGTAATGGTTTTAACCCTTTGAACCTTAATAGTGATCATTGTCTAATTTCTCTTTACATTAATATTATTTTTTTCATTCCTGAATCACACATTAAGGTCACAAGAATATAGGAAATGATCACCAACTAAAGAAGCTCTTGATTGTTCAACTAATTCTCCTTGTTAGCATCTTAAGAAATGTATAGAGAACAGTATGGAGAATATACATACTGATGTTCGGGTATAAAGGGTGATTGGTGGAATATAGTGTGATTCCTCTCCAGTTTTATAGGAAACATTTGATATGAAAAGATTACTCAGAAATTAAGGGCCGGTCATTTTAATAAAAGTTTAGCCATTGTTTAACAAAACCACAATCTAAACTATCTTGAATTTAACTCAATCTTTTATCTGAACATTAATTTTTGTGAGCAGAGCCAAGAGGGCCAAAAGCAGTGGCAGCTAGCAGTGGAAGGTCATTAATTCAATGAAAACATCCCTATTATAGGGAATACCTAAGGCCCACTGCTTGCATAAAACCGCAATTTGGGTTAGACCTCGTGTAAATAACCGGTCCTAAGATTTTTATCTGTGTCAGGTGATTTAGTATTTCTCTTTGTGTTTTATCAGGCGAGACAGTCCTTATGATGTGGTTGTCTTTCATCCTAAACACAAAGGTTCCAATCTCGCTTCTTTACCCAAAGGGAGGTGAGAACTAACTTTGCGGTGTAATTTTACTCATAAAGAGTTTTAGACATGTATAAAAGATAATGTATACTTACGGTACTTTCAAAAGTGTCCATGTCTCACCCATGAAGAGTCCTTTGAGAGGGTTAGGGTTTTTTTTCAGCTTCGTGATTTTCAAATCTTTTTAATTTCATCCCTGGTCATCTTTTCTTATTTGTTTGCGAGTCTTTTTTTTTTTTGTTTTTCTGCCTTTCCGAAATAATATTTTATAGCATTCCTTAAATGTCTCAGATTAACTATGATATCACGTCTTTGAACAAACTTAGGACTAATGCTATTTTCGATTGTTGATCATATACAGCTGTATTCATTTTCCCCCACAGTGTGATTGGGACAAGCTCACTAAGGCGTAGTGCACAACTTAAAAGATCTTTTCCTCATTTGCTTATTGAAGATGTCGTATCCTTTTGTGAAACTGGTCGTTAAAAAGATTTTGGTTCGCCACGCGCGAGACAACTCGATTAAGTATAAAAAGACGCCTGAGTGCTAGGGTAATTTGGTGTTATCAACTGAGTTGATAACGTAAATTGGCCATCGTTAAGGGTTTAAAAGCTGACGTTTCGAGCGTTAGACCTCCGTCAGAGCAAAAGGCCAACGCCCAAAACGCTCTCGCCCTGACGAAGGGCTAACGCTCGAAACGTCAGCTTTTAAACTCTTTACAGTGGCCAATTTACGTTATCAACCCAGCTGATAATACCAAATTACCTTGTTATACTCTGCCATCGACGCTGCACTACAGTTTCTTTAGTTTCTTAAAAAACTTGCCCCCCTTATTTGTCTGAGTGCTAGGATTGTTAAAGCATAATGTGACCCTAACGATTGTGCGGAAATACAGTCATTGCAGAACCACCGATCGCTGAGCTGAAGTGCTTTCGATTGACTATCGTGAAAAAAACCCAACTAATGATAACGAGGAGCCACTAACAAGTCAAAGTAGACAGAGCAAATCGACGGAGTCGCGGAAGTAGGAGAGTGACCAAGTTGCGAGTTGTTATTGGTCTTACCTTAAAATCTAATTGGTTGAGAATGTGGCGCGAGTTTTCTAGACCAATCACGGAGCTAAGTGAAGGAAAATCAATGGAGTCGTGGACTTTGCTCGATACCCATGCAAAACGAAAGGGTAGTTTTCACATACGACGCGCTCGGAGTCGGAGTCGCAGAGTGATACAATCAAGTGAAAATCAAACCGACGGAATCAGAAGAAAAATAAACTGGATTGTCGCAGTTGTAAGGCTGTGGATGGCCTGAGAACTCGCATTGTGATTGGTTGATTCTTCCACTTCCGCTTCCACTTCTAGAAGTCGGAAGCGCTCTTACGACTCCGACTACGATCCCGACTTTGTCTACGATTCCGACTCCGACTTCGTCACCAGTATAGAGCGGCTTTAAGAGAACTTCAAGTGTGATTAAGATACTTTTAGATAATCGAAAGAGAACCTATAAAATTCTTTGATACTTTTTACAAGCGAGTTAAATGTCCTTAACAACGTGTTTTCCAATGATCAGCGTGGAAATCTGAACACTAGACTCAGCAAGCTTGATGCTGGTGATAAATATGACGCTCTCATCTTGGCAGCTGCAGGAATGGACCGCATGGGTTGGGCGGAACGTATTGAGCAGGTCAGATTCATTCCTTATCTCGTCTAGCAAATGCTGCATTAATTTAGCTTGCCTACGAGCGAGCAAACGTTCGTTATTAGAGCTGCGACACGAGAATGAATAAATTGATCTTCACGACTGTGGTACTAGCGTCTTGCAACTCTGATAGAGAGAGCCTACTTGCAATGTCTTGTTATGTCTGTGTTGTTGCTGTTATTGTTGTTGTTGTTTTTTTTTTTGAGCCTAACACAGCAATTTGTTTGTTGTTTTTTGGAAAAGTCTGTGGATAAAAAGGAATGTATGGTTTTCGTTTAAAGTTTTTTGAAGGGGTATTTTCCTGTTTTCATGACAATTCGTTTTTTCCACAGGTTCTTGGTCCTGATGAGTGCTTGTATGCTGTAGGACAGGTTGGTTACGAAAGTGTTTACATTAGCGCATTCTCGAGTTCAGCGGGCCTCGATAAGTTTTCTTGCGAGACAAATGGCCAGTTTGATCTCGGTGAAGATACCGAGGCTTAGTTACGTTATTAGTGTGGAATATTTTAGAGTCAAATATTAGTTTTGGCAAAAGGGAATTTCAAGTGCTTAAGTCATTTCACAGTAGGTTTGCTACTTTTTTTATCGAACTTTTGTACTTAAATAACCTTTTCAAATTACCTTACAGCTTTTGCTGCAAACACTAAGTACAGACAATTTATTTGGGGTTTAGGAACAGTTTTTGCGTATTGTGAGTTTTCTTGTGTGACTGTATAGGCTGTTCTATCAAACAGTGAGTTCCAAATGTGTAGCCAACCGCGCCTCATTTGATTGCAACTTTTCGCCCTTGAATCCTTGTACTTGATTTCACCTTGAGTTATAATAGAGCAATTTTCAATTGAGTGTCAAATGCTATCCGAGATTGTATTGGTTTTGCGTTTTTTTTTTCTTTTTGCTCTTCGCTCTGTGATTGGTCCAGAAAACTCGCACTACTCTCTCAACCAATCAGATGCGAAACTAAAACCACCTACGACTTGGTCGCCCTCATTTTCTCGCGCTTTAGGCAGTTTGGTTGTGTTTACGCAGGTGGTTTCTTCTCTTCTGATTGGCTCTTTTGATCACTTTGGTATTGGTTTTAACCTTGTTCTGATTGTTTCTTTGTGACTTAAGATTCTTTACTATCTGACATTGATGAATTTGTCTTATTTCCAGGGAGCTCTAGCAGTTGAAGTTAATCTTGACGATAAACAAACCATTGAATTAGTGTCCAAACTGATCGATAGAGACACCAGTATCTGTTGCGCTGCTGAGAGAAACTTCTTGAGGACTTTGGTTAGTAATATGATCTTATTGACGTCGTAGGACGTTGTAGTGATGGTTTCTAAATTATCTCTCCCATAGTTCGAGTCATAATTATAGTTTGTAAATTCAACTTGGTAAACTGCTTTGGTTTGCTTCCCATGTAGGAGGGAGGATGCAGCGTTCCCATTGGAATAACCTCCAGCCTGGATGGCAATCAGGTGCGGTATTGCAAATCGATTAATTAATCAGGCAATCAATCAATCAATCAACCAGTCAGTCAGTCGGTCAGTCGGTCAGTCAGTCAGTCAGCAAATCGGTCAATCAATCAATCAACCCATTAATTGATCGATTCATCAATCAATCGATCGATCGATCGATCGACCCGTCAATCAATCTTTCCATTGATCAGTCAATCAGTAGATAAATCCATCATTCAATGGTCTCTTTATTAATAATTCAGTTAATCAATCAACCAGTCATTTATTTTAACAGTCCATCAATCGATCAAGCAGTCAATAAACTTAGTTAGTATATACCAAAACAGTGGATAGCGTCGAAGGCGCGCCCTGATTAGCTACTCAAACTCCGCATTTATCTGCCATTCACCTCCGAGCAGCGCTTACGGGATCTGCGCCCGAAAATATTGTAATCGTAGCAGGAATAAATGAGTTTAAATCATCTTTTTGTGCGATATTATCTCACTGTTGTAGTATATACTGAAAATTTTATTTCAGTCCAGTGTCAGTGTCTACCAGTGGCTCTAACCACCTCCACTTCGGAGGATAGTTGTCAATTTTTTACTCAGTAGGAATAACTGTATTAAAAATCGCGAATGACGATAACTAAAATTAAATAAGGAGAGCCCCACTGCTTTTCCCTAGTCCCCCCTCCCATCCCAACTTCTCTATTCGCGAGGAAGAAAACTTAACCCTCTTTGTGTGATTTTAGTTAACCATGACAGGTGCTGTGTTTAGCTTGGACGGAACAGAATGTCTCAAGGAGACTGTAACGGGAACCCTCCCAGACCCTTCAGTCCAGGATGGTAGCTGCCCTCATGCCATACTCACCCAGTCGAGTATTTATGTCCCAACGGGAATGCGTGACATCATTGTAACAGCTGAAAAACTGGGCGGGACGTTAGCGCAGGCCTTAATCGCCAGAGGAGCTGAGAAAGTACTGCGTAAGGCTAGAGAAGGAAAGGACCTCGTGCAACAATGACGGAATGGAGCGCAAATAGACGATTTTTGCTTGAAAATTCGAATGAATATCTTAGCCACTGCGCACCCACCCCTCCCCTAACTCAATATTAGCCTGGACGGCTATCGGTTGACTGTTGTTGGGTTAGTGGAGGTGTACGTGCACAGTGGATCTGAAGCTAACGTTGTTCCGAAAATTCTTACATTCAAGTGCTGATTAAATCGATCAAAATTTCGGGTGTAATTTTAACAAAATGGAATGGGATTTTTTTTGGGCTTTTAATTTACTTTCGTCACGCAGTCATTTTCTTCCCCTCACGAAATGTTTTTCCGAGTGAGCATTAATATGCATGTTTTAGTAGATGGGCAAAGAGAATAAAAAAATTTTTATTCAATTTCCTTGCATTTGGTAGTCTTCCTCTGTTTGGTCTTCCATCAGAGGTGAGGTGTAATTCTCTCTTTCAACACGACAGTTTAAAAAGACAGTTATCTCGTTTTAAATTTTATTGTTCTAATTTAAAAAAAAAAAACAAAACAAAACGTAGAACTTTCACCACTTTGTTTCTCACGGTCTCATCGAATTTTCGTCACTTGTTGGTGATCTGCTTTTACCGCTGGGAATCGCAAGATTTTTTTCCCTTATTAAACCTGAATTTGCCTGACATTTTAGAAGGTTTACATCTTGAAATTATCTCTCAGTTTGCAATAAGACTTTAAATTCCAAAGCGACGCGATTTTTCAAAGCTTTAAAAATTTGGACCACTGTTAGTTCGTTGTGTTAAGCCAAAATAAATGCCTTGTCATGATTATTGTCATCAAACTTATATCTGAGCAAAACATGACGCGGAGGACCGTGCTTTGTGTCTGCCATGTTATTATCGTTTTTATCATTATTAGTATCAAACTTATTTCTATTTCTGAGTGTTTTTGGCAGCGAAAAAAAAGACAACATGATTCTGGTTTTAGTTACCTTTCCTGTCATGTTTAAATCATCTATTTTATATAACAGCAAACTATTAACATCTGTTGTTTGTAATTAGACCAGAGATTTGAAATGAACTCCGAATACATTGCAGATCTCTCTAAAACACTTTGCTGATTCCAATTCGCCAAAAAAATAAAGAAAATAAACTCCTGGTGTCTTTGAGGCACATAACGTGAGGCAAAAATTTGTGGTATTAAATTCTTACTAACAATACGGTTTATTCCTCGAAATGGTCAACAAAGGCAAAAAATTTTAATTTCAATGTTATTTTAAAAAGAACATGCCTTATCTTTCATGGCCTAAGTGTAACCTGTAACCAACAATTGCATTTTTTAGCCAAAAAGTTTGACTGTTTAATTTTTGAGCAGATGTACGCTTAAAAGTGTCATTTAGTCTGTATTAGAGTAGTTTCATAACCACCGGTCGAATAGATCAGTTCTTAATTCGCTGTTCACTTAAACGGTAAGTATAGGCGCATAATGCAATCTATAATTAAGAGACAACACAGGAACACGAAATAACGTCATAGGAAAAATAAAGATGTACAGATAGCAACCTCGAAGGTAAGGATTTATGTTTCTATGTATCGCATTGTTACAAGAAAGCGATCGTAAGCGTTGATCATTATTGAGATATTCAACTTCTTTTCCTTTGGACTCCGTTCGACTGGGTTATAAAATGAAACGAAATGCCGTATCTAAGAGAGAGAGTTTCGCTGAGGTGAAGGATAACTTGTTGCCGTTAAGCTCGAAAATTTTCTTTATTTCATTTATTAAACGATGTTTTTTAGAGCAACTGGTCAAACTGAAAAAAAGTGCATCGGAAATTCGAGAATGCGCGCCACAAAATCGAAATGTAATTTGCTTTACCGTAACTTAAAAGTTATTGCATTTATTCAGGCATTGTATCACGTGTCTTTTTTTAATTTTAGTTATTAACCTTACAGCTTTGAAAAGTCAGAAACGAATTTTTATCAATTCTATTACATATAAAGAACAGCTGTATTGACGTATGCTGAACGAAATGTGTTGGAACTAAATATCCTTTTGCTTAGAATCATTACCTTCATGTCATGTCATGGCGCTTTTTTTTGGAGATCTCAGAGTCGTTTGAAAGCTCGCGTGACCTCCTTTTGTCTACAAATGGAAAGTTACATGTAACTGAATATCCATATCCGAAGATCGCGAGAATTTGTAATGTTCTTTTCTTTCTTGAAAGATTTCCATCTGCCTTTTTATTAGTAAATAGAATTTTGTCGTCTCTCCTGTTATGCCATATTATCAAGAAGAAATTTTACAGCTCTCATGAAACATAAAACTTGTCCGTCTCAAAAAAAAAGACTTTAAATCATCTTTTTTAATCATATATAGTCAATTTTTTTCGTGCCACTTTCCTGCATTATTTGAAAACATTGTCTCAGGTCTATTTAGGCGGAGCAAAGGCACGGCATTTTACCTGGCCTCCAGTCTCCGATCAGATTCAAGTATATATGAATCTAGCAGGGCGGGGAGACATGTTTAAGCTGACTATATAATATTGTATAAAGGGGGTAGTTTATAAAGAAACTGTGGTGCTGTGTCGGTGGGAGAGTATAACAGGTGATTTAGTGTTACCAACTGAGTTGAAAACGCAAATTAGCAACCATAAAGAGTTTAAAGGCTGGCGTTTCTAGCGTCAGCCCCTCGTCAGAGCAATTGGAGAAGGGCTAACACTCGAAACGTCAGCCTTTAAACTCTTTACAGCGGCTTATTTACGTTTTCAACTCAGTTGGTAACACTAAATTACCTGCCTATAATATTGTGTTTGCTCTACGTTTCCAGGCTTAAGCAGTACTCTGTTACATTGTCATTGTTAGCGAAACAAAGTAAGGACAAAAAAAAGGTACATAACTAAGTAAACAAACTAATTCACTCACATAAATGGCTTTCGCGCCTAGAATCACAGTTTCAGTATTCGAAATGGTTGCAAACCTGAATTGTGAAGCGTGCCTAGTCGACAGAATGCAGTCTGGGAAAATGTAACCTCAAATTTTTCCATACCCTGAGCCTTCCTCGCTGTTTATGTGTGTGCCTGTTTTTCTTTTCGTTTTTGGAAAGATCATCATTTACGGGCTTCTAAGGATTTTATTATAGTGACGATTTTAACTTTAAGTAGGAAGCCGTTTGATCACAAGTTTTCAACAATTTTCTTTATGCAATCCATGTTCTCTGCGGACAAAAAACAACACAGCACGAAAAAGAGGAGACATCTATTTAAAGCGTTTCAATCGATAATTCATCAATGGATGGAATTTACAAGGTAGAAACTTACGACAAGGTACCTCAAACTGTCACTTGTCTTTTTCTTCGTTTTATATTGCGGGTTTTGTCGGGTATGAGTAGGGAAGATCACGACTCAGTGTCTTTGGCATTCCAAGTTTGGTACGTGTTTTAAAAATGAAGCAAACGAATTCGAAACCACTAAAACCATATGAAAGAACTGCTAGGCAAAATCTTTTGAGTTTTGAGGAGTAGGCGTTGTCTCACACACGATCCATATAGGGTAAGTTAGAGTATGGGAAATTGTTCGGTCTCAACTCCTAATATGCTCCATTTCTTCTCCATAAGTTGCTTCGAGACTACGTAAACGTACTACCATGATTATTATGAAATAAGTATAATAAAGTACTTATGCCGAAATATCCTTTAATTCTTGTTTAAAAGTCTGACTATGATCTCTTGAAAGATTCTCATAATTTAAAGGATCTTAAAAAGCCTGATAAATTTTTGCATTGATGGTCTGCATTAAAAATTAGAGATGAAAAAAAGTTAAAAAGGCAAGGTTTAACCACTTTAGTTGATTTGCGAAGTTATCCATGGTCTTTTAGAGTGTTGTGGACGCGCAACAATGAATATATTAGCTCATGGCTTTTTACTCAACGGCTTCCGTAAACTTGGCAAACCCCCAATACACCCTCACGTAACACTTGGTGGCACTTTAGGTAACCTTACTGACAAAACAATGATAGCAACAACAATAACAACGACAAAAACAACCACAAACCCTCTTAGGCCCGCTTTCGGGAACATAATTTTTATTCGTAGCACTAGAAATCTTGAAGATTCATCTAACCAGCAACTACAATTAGCTGCAATGACAACATTGCGATTTGTAAATTGAAAAAATTCTTTAATATAAGATACTTTGCAAAGACTGTTATGTTTCACCTAAATACAGTGAGAATTCGAGCTCGAAAATCTCCCATGCGAAACAAATGCAAAGAAAAATCACTAACAATCAACATCTCAAAATGTTCATTAACGTTTACTTCACAAAAACTACTCCAAGACCAAAGAAAGTCAGAAATGATAAGGGATGGGGGAGGGGGAGAAGCAGGGTGATCGATGGGTAACGCAGATATCATTCGCGTTTGCCCCTTTCCGCAGCTTTGATTATTAATATAATCTTCGCTCGGTTTAATTTATCAAATGAGCGCAATTAAGACGCCATATCTTTCCCTAACATGTAGCTTGGTAGCGTTCTCTGTTCGTAACAAGACCGCTGAATATAAGACACTAAAAAGCAACTAGGGTCAAAGCTCTTCTTTCTTCAATTGCTCTTCTCGTTTTTGGCCCTGACTCGCTCCCGCAGAATCCGCGGGCTCTTTCAGCTCCACTTTACCCGCCAGAACATCTTCCACCCACTGTTGGAGATGTCGTAATTTAAGTTCCTTTCCTTTCCTTTCGAACCAAGAACTTTTGCTCTGTTTCATAAAAGAGGATATTTGTTTTATTTTTCGTTATTTTTGTGAAAACACAAAATTGACGGGTAAAGTGGTGTGGGTATGAGCTACAGAGGAAAATGAGGACGTCACGTGAAGGTTCGAGCGCTGAACTCGCGAACCAGAGGTCCTGGGTTCGAGTCTTTGGCTCTTCTTGCAAAAGCCAAAAGGTCTGCCTTCTTAAGCTTGTCTTTTCATTACTCCCATGTTACATTTCAAATATTTCTAATTAACTTTCAGAAGACTCTGTGTTAGAACATAGCCTTTGGTTATCAGAGAATATTTATCTATTCTTCGTTAAAAGAACTTACAAATTTTGGCTCAATGACCCCGATGACAGGAGAGTTCACATCGATATTGTACGACTTCTGCCAGTAATCACGCATCTGAAGTAAAAGGAAAAAATATACACTCAGTTTTCAGTATATTCAATCGTTGATTCCAGGGCGACTCAAGGTTCCCATTTGACGAATATATCCTTTACTCTCAAGCTTTTCAGTGTTGCCTTTGTGGAGAGAGGGTCCGCAGATAACTGTTTTTAAAGAAATGTCTGAGACGTTATATATGTTTATAATCCATCAAATATTTTTGCTCGCGTGCGTTTGTCTAAACGCAACACGTGAGCGAATACGCCTCAGCTGAAACTGGAGAATATCTGAGGATATACCCCAAGTGATATTCCCCGATTTTCAAACCTTACGTCCACGAAAATGAAAGTTTCGTTTTAAATGTGATTCAAGATGAGAGAGCGTTTAGCTTTTTGAAGAAGGGGCATTTTTGTTTGTTCATAAAGTCGTACATAGGAATACCGAAAAAAAAAACATCTCACGCAGCAAACAGTAGGCTGTTTGTTGAACTCTTTCCCTCGAGTTGCAGAAACGATTAAGAATGATAACAGTAGCCTCAATTGGACGCGAAAATATGCTCATGTATTTGTCCTTGAACATCATCTGTTCCTCGAAGCTCGCAGTTTTCCTCGAGCTTCGCTCTTAGAAAACTATTCTCGTGACAGATAATGTCCGCGGATAAACTCGTTCATACTTTCGTGCCAAGTGAAGGCTATTGTTTATTTGGAGAAGAGTCTTTGGTTATTTTCGTCCGATTTTTCTGATTGCTCCATGTACCAAGTTCAGAAATATTCACGATAGTTGTTAGACTACTAACGTTATGAAATACGGTGGAGCAGTAAATTCCAAATACACGTCACATAATTTCGTACATCACGCACCGTAGGGAATGGATCAGGATCGACCCACAAGAAATGTAATTTCTTTTCGTCTCCGTATCGCCTGGCCAGCGACTTTACCAAAGAGAAGAATTGTGAACCTTCTGTTCAAAAGGAATAAAATGGGGAAAGTTCATTGAGTTAAGAATTAAATAGAGCAATGAATGAATTTTTGAGTGTCACGATTCCTTTAGGAAGGAAAACTATCAATTTCCATAGCCAAGTTACCATCATAGAGTTTGGCTCTTTGTGAAGTATCGTGAATGCGTGTTTCATTGTTACACGTCGAGTGAGTGCTTTTATTTTTTCGGATATGCTCCATAGCAAAGTTCAGCAACCAATACATAAGTTAACCACCCAAACGCATCTTTCCAAATGGTACTAGCGTTCTGTATGTTTTCCGTTATTGGATTCACTTTGACATGAATAATAAGTTCTTTTCGAAATGAGACTGGTCGCGATGAAAATCCAGCAGAAGGATTCAACAGAGAAAAAAAAGAAATTGAAAAACAAAAACTCACCATTCGTATCAAGCCTCACGAAAGCGGTAACCAAATAACCTTCCACATTAGTTGACTACAACAGATAACAAGATGTTGTTATGTATCGGTGTCAAAATCACTAAAATTGTTCTCTATTTCAAAGAAATACACTCTAAGCTTAGGCAAACCACAACCTACAATAAATATTGCTTTCACCACGTAAAGTGTTTTTCTAAGAAACAAAACCAGAAAAAAAAATCAAATCAAACACACAGCAAAGTGATAAACTGCAATAAAAGATGCGAACTTACGAAGATTCGTCAGAGTTTAGGATAAAGATAATTTCACGAGTCCTATATTAGAAAGCAAGTAACACTCCTAATCTCTAACGTCCCAAAACTTAGGAACAGCTAATTGGAAGTGCTGGTCTCAAATGCGAAGCGATTTTTGACGATTGTCATAAAGTTCAACATTGGTTGAAGGAAGAAACTCATTTTTTCCTCACAGTTTTTGAAATTGTGAATCATTTAGAAGGTTTCCAGCTACCTTTAACTTCAAGATAAAACGTTTCACATGTAAATTCAATTATGAGCTCACCCATGTATCATGTATATCTTCAAGTCTAATCTTCGTTAAAATGCCTCTGCAATATACAAAGGATTCAAAGAGAAAACATGACTAAATATCTTTGATGGTGGTTACAAGCCAAAAAGGAGCTGGTCATTATGATCAACTCCCAGTTGGCTTGTTAGCTCACTTGGTAGAGCGCTGCACCGGTATCCCAAAGGTCATGGGTTCAAATTCCGTACGGGCCTGAATTTTTTTCAGGCCTCGGTTCAACTACTAGTTAATTAGTGGTCATAACTGCGAGGATCGCTTCCATATTCGTTTCTACAATCGCAGTGCAAATATATGATTTTCATACGTTTACAGCCATGCCTAAATATCTTTGATGGTGGCTACGAGCAAAAGCAATACGATTATTTCTTTTTCATTCCCAAAAGTTTAAGCAATTACAGTATCGGTCAATTGTACATCATTGTATGTCATTTAAGTACATGTACATGCCTAATCACGCCTAGATAACCTGACATACTGATCATGACAATTTCTCATTTATCTGCCATTAAAAATAACTGAATATAATTTACTCCTGGCGGTGTAACAGGGCAAAAACTTATCTGTTCTCATGTTAATAACACAATAAAAACGAAAACATCGCCCTCTTTCCTCTGAATTCTCACCTCTTGTTCTGAGCAATAAAATTGTTGATGTTTTCTTCTGTTATGGTCTGAAATGAAACATTAGAAACGTCTTAGGGACGAATTAAGAGTTTTGGAAAGGAAGTCTTTCTTAAAGAAAGTGTAATTGATTTTCATCCCCTTGATTAACCTTATAAATATACTGCAGTAAGTCTTTCCAAGAATGATCTGCAGCACACTCGTTATTCTATATCCTCCCACACAATCCTACATTTTTTCTCCCCAATCTACATCTTTGTTGAAAACCATGTCGACAGGGAGCTCTAGTAATTGAAAGTAACAATATGTACCCCTCCCTTTTCTTTCACTTCCTCCCGTTTTAGCACAGTGAGATTCACTACCAGTGTAAAAAGTGAAAGCACTCGCTGCTGCAAATAGAGTTTTTTCGCTGATACAAGGAAGGGCCAACAGAGTACGCCGCACTGATCGTGGCGTTGGAACATTCTATCATTGCTACAGTACTAGGATTTTCCCACTCTATGAATCGAATTAGTCCTGGTCTCCTTGGTAACTGTTTATTGGGATTCAACGCAACGGACCCTTACAGAAGCTTTGCGGTGTCTGTCACAGAAACGGCTGCGAGGGATACGAAATCAATTCAGGCCACAGAAATGTAGCGACCGAGGTTACTAAATCATTTACCTAAAGCCACAGAGACATTAAAAAACATATCAACGCCGCTACCGAACCTGATATGACTTTATGAAATAATTTTTACCTTATCTGCTGGGTAATTGACAGGTTTCTCATATGGTTTCAAGAGTTGTATGGTTTTGGGTTTCTTGAGCCGAAATGATTTGGCAAGCTGTGGAGAAATTTTAAAGTCAAGTCAGACTCTTTCAATGCTTTCAAATGGGTTTACTGCCTTTAGTTTGATACTCACGAGAGTTCACAAATTACGAATTCTGTGTAAGATGTATGCAACTTGGGCAAACGGTTAAGGATAATTTCAACGTAAAAGTGATGTAATGTAAAGTAATGTACGCGGGCAGATTCACGTACCTTCTTATCAGAAACAGCAAAGAATGGTAATAAGGGTTGATGCTGCGTGGCCGATTCTTCGAATGCTTTGATTTCTGAAAGCAGTTTGACCAATTATTAAAAGGGCCAAGCTCATTTAGCGAAAAATTTAACCATCAAACATTGCAATAGAAACTCATGTCATTAGAAAATTTTTGATAATCTTCGACGCTGCCTCTTACAGTTAGGTTCCTGTAATGAAAAAATGCAATGGCAAACAGTAACAGATCTGCTCGCAGAGATTCATTGAAAGTGAAGCAAGAACAGTGTTCCTTGATCTGGGGTTCAGTTCTCGCATGAAATCATTTCTGGTATATTAAACAATCTAAATTCTATTGAGGGAAATAAAATCAACAAAATTTACAATTCTTGCTAATTCAAAACATTCCGGCTTAGCTATTTGCGCACCAGCTCAGAATTAATTTTAGTTTCTACTCTAGCAAATAAATTTCTCAAGGTCTTATTCCATTTACAGTTAACCTTTGACAAAGCCAACACGTTTTTACAAATACTGTCAGATAGCCCCTTGAAAATGGCTACATGATGAAGTTGAAGACGCAGCAAAAAGAAACTGTTTAATAGAGAGTGAAATTCATCGATTCATTCAATCACGTTTTAGGAAGACATCGTAAGTTTATATGAACCTGGCGAGTCTTTTTCCAAGTAAGCTATTACTTTGCTTCCATCAATATCTTCAAACGAAGTCTTCTGTTTCTTGCTTTCTATGAATGAAACCGGGGGCTCAAACATCTGCAAAAACAAGTTAACAAACAAGCAAAAAGTCTTTAACAAGTCCATTTGCTTACCAACAGCAACATAATTTGGCATTTCTAGGATCCTTTCCGCAGCTTCAAACAAATCGTGAGTTGGTCATTTCGGAATCGTATGTCGCCTAGTTTTCATAACGAGTCGGAGTGGAAATGAAATTCCGTGATTAGCATAGATGTTCAACCATACACATAAAGCTTTTTTTCTATCTGTACCAAAGGATACCCGAAAAAAGTAGCTTCTCAAAAGTAATTTCCATAACTAAAACTTTTAAATATTTGGATAATAGACGGTCTGCTGCGTTTAGCTTTATTTTCACGGAGCCTCTCAGGTGACAAATTATAACGTAGAGTATGCCGTTCACGTGGAAGGGTTCAACCCAAGTGCCGCAGACAACAACGTGAGTTTCATGAACAACTGCTCCGTTGGCCATTGAAAAGATGGCCATAAGTAGAAAGCAGAAGAGAAAGACTCTGTTAAGTCAAAGGTAGCCGTCCAGATTGCTGATAAAACATTACAAAAGGTGGTGCCGATGCGAATTTCTACTGATAGAAATTCGCATCGCACACCACCTTTTCAGATAACAAATTTCAGGAGGATCCTTAGCAGAAGTCTCAAAAGGTGAGAGCGCACCCAAACAAACTTGTGGATGATCAGCAACCTGTAATAATCTATGGCAACCTCGGCAAAACCCAACAACACAGTAGAAACCACAGGTTATTAAAATAGATGGTTTTGTTCTTTTCTTTTAATAAAAAAAGAGAGATTCTTTTACTTTGTTAACCGAAGAAAAAAAAAGTGAAACTGAGATTTCGTGCCGGTAATCATTAATGCGACATTTTCTCAACATTTATCAAACTTAAAACTTGCTAATGACAACATGTTGCATAATTCCGAGCCATCTAAAGCAAACTACTTCTATTTCTAACGTCATAAATTCATCAAACAAACAGGTGAAGAAAAACACGATCTGATTCAGGGTGGTATCTCAATAAATAACCCTCTTTCTATCTCTGATTAGCTACATGAAAGAATTCGTGATCAGAAGTTGGATTTATTGTGTAAAACATCTACCAAATTTTCGCGGCACTTAACCACTCGCTGATATTCACCAGTGCTTTAATTTCTTAAAACAAAATATATAATATATGCAACAGCTAAGTATCATTGCTTCTTCACAAGGATGCTGCAGACTGTAAGGAAGCCTTTGCTGCTAGTAAAAAACACCTATGCATGTCTTAAATTTTCTAGGAGTTCGTTCCAAATAATGTGTTGGTTCGTTGTAACAACTGAGGGGCAGATATCCGCTTCAGTTGCTTACTAATGGGAAAAGGCGGCCCTAAGCTTGCAGCGGCTAAGACAAACACTCTCAGAGAAAATTGAAAACGGGTCACCTTTTTCAAGTGTTTACTTAATTGACACCGAGCGACAAACGAATATGCAAATACTCATTGCTCCACAACCATCTTGTTTCACAGTCTGATGTTATTATATTTGGAACTAAAACGGTAGAACTTTGAAAGAGCGCTTCTCAAAGAAGGTGGATATGCTCCTACCTTGCGAAGGAAAACAGCGAAACAATTAAATAATGATCACCGTCATTAATGGGCTGTTTTTCTCATTTCTCCAATTCAAAACTTGCTAATGAGCACAATTCACATAATTCAAAAAGATCAAATTTAATGTTTCTTCTTCAATAATTCATCTCGCAGACAAGGGAAAGCAATTTATTCAGCCTGAAGGTGTTATTTCGACATGACCACAAATTCTCCCAACTAATTTAAAGGGAAATACGCCGCAGTGAAATGCGAGAGCTGTCAAATAGATATTGGGTTCATTCTGGAAACACCTGCCTGCCAAATCGTCAAAATTCCCAATCATTTGGCTCCCCGTTTGTAATAAATTTGTGTAAGTGTCGAGTCTCATTGCTTCTCTTGGAATACTTGACAGTGAAGTATGCCCACAAAATATATCTCATAAATGAGATATCTCACCCCCCCGGCCAAAAAAAAAGGAGATAATCTTTCCCTAAATAATAAAGTAGGAGTAACACCAGCGCTGTTTAAATTGTGATGAAATTATTTACTTATCGAGGATGCCGCGTGACGAAATGAAAATGGCTTTGGAGACAGAAAATGGAAGCCGTAGGCGGTCGATAAAAGACCTGTATAAGTGTCATATTTTCTAGGATTTCGTCTCAAATACTTCATCAGTTAGTTCTAATAATTTCAAAACGAAATTCTACTACAAATGCTTATTAATAACATCGAGCAGCTCTAATCATGCCGCGGCTTAGACAAAGCATGTCGCTATGATTGAAATGCGTTTATTTGAATGACGTCAAGCTAGAGACCGGAAGACGGAAATACTTATTTCCATCAGGACTTGTTTTAATATTTAATGTTTATCATTTCAACCCTCAACGGCTAAACTTTGGTAACTGAGGTTCTTTAATTAATGGTTCTACACCCTTAAAAACGCTGCTTCAAAGTAAAACACATTGTACTGACTCAAAAGGTAAGAAAGACAGTTAATATTTTGCTACAAAGCTATTTTTGATCACAAAGTCTACGGAAAATTACGCAATAAAATTGAAGGTTTGTAATCTTCAATTTTAACAAACAGATTCCTTAAAACGAAGATTCAGCAGAGGGGATCCGCACAAGGGAAAAAAAGAAAAGATAGGGAAAATTTGCTGATTAACGGTACATGGCAATTTAGCGATGACTGTCTTCCGCATATGCAATGTCTGACACGGAAAAAAGTGAAACCTTTCTTTTTGAATTTCAGGCTAAATCATCTTCATAACAGTCACCATTGTCTATTTCTCACTGAGAAGAAAAGAGATATGTCCAAAATACTCTTGCGTTTTGCTGATTAGCAAGGAAATTGTGGCAGACCTTTTCTTTTCTCCGGGTGAAACCTCTAACAAACAAACTCGTCCTCTACACAACTTTTAAAATAAGAAAGAACAACTCGAGAACGACAGAGAAACCACACAGGGTATATTGCCGATAATTGAGACCTGTTTGTAAAAGATCCAAAAGCGACCTAATGGTAAAAACAATTCGCATTTCCCTCTAGAAATGCACCAGTAAGCTTTGGATCTTATGGCTCACTTTACCATTTCCGAATCCAATTTTTAAATTGTTGACTTAGGTTACGCCGTTCGTTTGACGAGCATTGGACAGATGTCATTTTCCGTTTCACTTCAAACAACAAACACTACACAACACACGCAACCTTATGTAAATTTTTAATTAGAAAGCTGATTGTCGATCGGACAGTTCACCCTCAACGAAAACGTTTAAAAGATAAATATTCAAAAATATAGTCTTATCGATTGGGTTTTTGACACCCGTAGTCTCTTTCATAGGGAAATCCATTGAGGAAATAATGATAGTATTCTTAAAACATGAATGCAAATTCTGTTAATGAAATGGTTTTGACTTGAGCGTTGGGAAGATTGGTTTTCCTTAATGGATTTCCAGTAGGAATATTTTATCCGGAATTCATTATCTCACAGTTATGCACAGCTTTTGTACGTGTAGATGAGCTTCAATTCAAAAACTCTTCACTGCTCGACTAGTTATCGAAAAATTGGACGTTTTTAGGTTTAACATTTTGTGCAAATAATCCGATCAGAATTTGTAAATAACAGAATTTGGCAAAAGTGTTTACATCACTGTTTCCACCCATTTCATCCTTCGATATGATCCCTCTGGCTAGAAATAATTATGAAATTTGTCACTCGCAGCTGAGTTAATGGAGTATGTATGAACAGTCCAATTTAACCGCCAAAATTGACCGTCACATGATGCGAAAAAGGTGGCAAAAAGGATATAAAAGTTAATTCACCCCTTTCGTATAAAGATGCGTATCTCATGTGATAAGTTTTGTTCCACAGCAATAACAAAAGGACTATTATGTTCGCACATTTTCGATTGAACGCTGGTTACAGCGAGTTCATATTCAACCCACGCTCATGGAATAAGAACAAGATATTCTATTAGACTGCCGACTGAATTGAAAACCAATCGGTCCGTTTACCATGGTGAAGAAATGAGTAAGCAACCACGCAATACGAACTTAGAATATTGTTAGAGAAAATTATTAAATTTTCCATTTATATGTCCTCTTTTCTACGTCTTTTTTTTTTCATTAAAAATTTTTCAATTTTCTTCCTCCGCAGGGGATAAATGAGAATCCTGCAATGATCAGTTGGGTTCTGCTTTGTTTTACCGTGTTTTCTGTTTTCGGTATTACTTCCAGTGTTGAAGTGACGAGGGGTCAGCAGTTGCCTGGTAACATCACCCTCGGTGGTCTCTTTGTCGTTCACCAGACGACTGATGATGGCGCATGCGGCGAACTTTACCCGCAAGGACTTGGTAATGCAGAAGCAATGATTTTCGCTATTGAGGAGATAAACAGAAATCATAGCCTGCTTCCAACCATAAAGCTGGGATATGACATACGTGACTATTGTGAAAGCCCTGAAAAGGCAATGAGGCAAACGTACGATTTTGTCCGGGGAAACGACGCCAGATGTGCTTCTCCACATGTAGAAAACAAGACCATAGAGAAAACAAAGCCGATTGCAGCAGTTATTGGTCCATCAGACTCAGGAAGTGCTGTTCTAGTTGGTAGCCTTTTGCAAGTGGGAGGAATTCCCGTCATCAGTCACTCAGCAACTAGCAATGAGTTGAGCTCAAAGCAATACCATCATTTTTTCCGCACTGCTTCCCCAGATGGACAACAGGTGAGTGCTGTTGCTGACATTCTACAGTATTTTAACTGGAGCTATGTAGCTGCCGTGGCAATGGATGATTCATATGGTAAAAACGGCATGAGAAGTCTGGAACTTGAGGCTGAAAATAGGAGCACGTTTTGCCTTTCTTTTGCTGAATTTATTCCACGGAAGGAATATAATACAACAATAAAAAGAATTGTAAGGAAGCTGAAGGACTTCCCAAACATTGGCGTCGTAGTCCTTTGGGTTTTTGGCAGTTATGGCCGTCATTTTCTAGAGGAAGCAGCAAAACAGAAACTGTTTAATCGCACCTGGATTCTTAGTGACGGTTTAGCCACACAAGATGATTTGTTCAAGGGCCTAAAAACTGAAGACCAAGTAATTCTTCATGGGTCATTCGGTATTCAGCCTCCATATGTTGACATGAACAGTAGCAATTTCAGCAATTTCCTGATCAAAAGATCGACGCCGTTAACCAATTTTTCATGGTGGAAGGAATTTTGGCTGTCGGAGGACAACAAAGACTGTTTCAAAATGAAGAATCCAGAAAAGCAATGCAAGGAAATAGTCTTCCACAGATTATGCGAGACCTACACTCCCTATGTGGTGGATGCCGTATATGCTATTGCCCACGCCCTTCACAGCATGAAAAACTGCTCTGCATCACAGTGTAAGAATCTTGGAGATCACAACATTCCAATGAATACAAAGGATCTCCAGAGATATCTTCGTTTTGTTAAGTTTTCAGGATTAACTGGTGAGGTCAGCTTTGATCATTTGGGAGACCCTGTATCATCGTCATACGAAATTGTCCATTTTCAGGTTACTAACATATCAAATCCAGAAAAGCTGATCATTGGCTCGTGGTTAAAAAGCCGCAAGCCAAGACTTCACTTGAACCTTAGCAAGGTCAAGTGGAATTCCATGACTAACGGTTTTTTTCCGAAGTCATTCTGCCATGAGGATTGCCCTGTAGGCACAAGTCGGTCAATGACCACACCCTGTTGTTGGAAGTGCCTCAGATGTCCAGATGGAGCAATTAGCGCACGAATAAACGAGGAAAACTGCACCGAGTGCCCTCGAGGACAGTTACCCAATGAAGAGAGGTCAAAATGCTTGGATCTTCCAGAAGTAAAATTCAGATGGTCAAGCGTCGCGTCAGTCCTTGTGATTCTCTTCAGCACAATTGGATTTCTTTTCATTGCCAGTTGCAGTTTCATCTTTCATAAACATCGAAAGACTCCACTAGTCAAAGCAGCTAATCGCGAGCTAAGTGCAATCCTTATGTTAACAATCACGATGTCATTTTTAGCATCGATTTTAACTCTTGCAAAGCCAACAGACTTTGTGTGTGGTTTGATTTACTGCTGGCGGGCTATGGTCCTTGTTATGTTCATCTCCGTCCTGATAATCAAGACCATGAAGATTCTCAGCGCATTTCACATAAACGTTGTGGCGGAGAAGTTCAAAAAGTTCATTTTAGTTACAAAAAAACAAACAGTAATCGTTCTGGCGCTTCTTTTTCCACCCACTGCACTCTTTTTCTTATGGATTGCATTGGATTCACCGCATCAAAGACGAATCATTCAGATAAACGAAGGTACATCTCTTTTTACGTGTTCCTTACATCGGTCAACAGTTGGAATGAGTTTTCAAATCATCATCTCTCTATATACGTCCCTTCTTGCAGCGACTTGTACATACTACGCTTTCAAAGCTAGAACACTTCCTGAAAACTTTAACGAAGCCAGATATATTGGATTTTCTATGTACATTTTACTCCTTTCCTCGGTGGCATATTTGCCGATTGACATCGGACTTTCAGGTATCTACGCAACAAACTTGACATGCGCATTGATACTTGTGGCTTCTTACGGACTATTAACCTGCATGTTTGGGCCGAAGATCTACGCAATTCTAATCACGCCTGAGCAAAATACACATCATGCTGTAAGTTCACAAGTGTCGCATTATTCGTTTGGACTTTTTCGAAAGGGCAATACTGGCATTGCACCTGCGAAGTCAGATGCAACATACAACCAACAAAACATGCAACGGGAATTTTCCTCGACAACTCAAGTAACTACCTAAAGAGGTATTCTAAGATCTTCAATATTGTCCGAAAAAAGTGTTCAAGGACTTGAAGGATCACACTAAATGATAGATATGATTTTCTATAAAGTCAACAATCATTCACAAGGCGCGAAGTATTTACCACATTGTGCAACTAGAAATAATTTTAAGAAAACATTTTGAGCCATCTTAGTCTCGACATGGGGAGACAAACCCAGAGGAGTTAGGCGGCGATATTTTTGGCTGTTTTCATTTCTACTAAAAAATTTAGTAAACTTAAAAATAAAATTGTTTGCTAGTACTTACATACACCGACGATGAGCAATTTTGAATTAAGTGTTGAAATAAATCCGGGATTCCTTCAGCTTTGCTTCACTTCGCTTTGTGATTGGCCCAGAAAAATTCGCTCCATTTTCTCAACCAATCAAATTTCAAACTAAAAGCAATCGCGACTTAGTCGCACGCGTTTTCCCGCGCTTCAGGTGGTTTTTTTTTTCCTTATTGCTCTCATGCTCCTTACGATATTTTCCTTTGTTTTGATTGGCTTTGCTATTACCTCTGTTTTGGTTTGCGACACTCAATCCAAATGCACTCTGGCTATGGAAGAGAATTACACATAACGTCACGTGCTAATTCTTCACATACCCTTCTTGTCAGGCTAACGATCTTAGATTCATCGATTGATGTTTTAAACTCTTTTTATTTTGAAGGCTTCAGCTGGTTTTGACACTTACATTTACGAAAAAGACTCTTCTTGTCTCAGAAATGGCGACCTTATTGAAAAATAGATCATATCAAGAAATAACATGATCGACATGACATGTGATAATGATGTCGATATGAAATACTCATTTATGACACCTTCAATTCTATACATAATGAAGTATGCACAGTGGGTTGTTTCCTCTTTAAATCAGTCATACGGAGGAAGTTGTGAGATTATATCATTCAGATGCCGCACTCCAAATATACTTGTCAAAAATCTTCCAAAAGCAGCCTTTTCCATCCGTCGGTGATGTAATTGCTATTTATTGTCAGGAATACGGAAGAAGTAAGTCTTTTAATATTCATTATTATTATGTTTTCACTTGAATGTGAAACCAAGAACACTTCAACGAAGGGAAAACAATTATTGGAAGCTAAAGGTAAAAAACAACTTGTTAATTTTCGTGCTCTAAGATGTAAGAAGGATCATTGAGACATACCGTTTTAAAGACATTTTCCTTCTTTTCATGTTGACTGCATGAGAACAAGCAAGTTTAAGTTTTTCGACTGAAATTAAGGTGATACTTGTGACACGACTGCATGCCGCACAATCAATAAACTAGGGTTCTCAAGTTAACTCGCATAAAAAATAAGTTTACGTTGATGGCTTAACCTTTGGTAAGTTGAGTTCTCCACAACTGCCAAAACTACAGAAACAAATGCCCATCGCAAACGTCCGCTTATGTCGCAAATAGAGTACATGTGCCTAAGGGTTCAGATAACTCGCAATAGATAGACCTGCCTCGGATAAGGACTTTTCAAACCCAAACATTCGACTTGCAGTAAAAATTCTGATTCTATTTGAGTTAAGATAGAAATTGACACGAAGATTTTTTTGTGGGTGATGGTGGACGTCGCTATAGTATTTAGAGACTAAAAAAGATAAAAAAAGCTATTGTACCATATCAGAGTTCTTAACAATAGAATGGTGCCAGCTGAAAGACATTACCGGAAAGGATAATTGTACTTAAGTCCACGAAATTTAGCACAAAAAAGCTTTTGCTGATCAGGCGAGAATTCACTTACGGTTTTTAAATGTTCGTTGCATGACAACAATGCACGGGTCGGCGTTGCTGCCGAAAAGCGTGCGAGTCTTGTTTACGGTGCTATACACCTGTTCTTTTTAAAATGCGTCACAAGCTAAATACACATAAATACGAATATCAGAGGAAAGTGCTTATTCCGTTTTTTTCTGTTTTCAAAAATTTATTGTTGTTGGTTAGTGAATAGCCAGTCGACGATGGCGTTCTTAAAATACATGTTCTTGGACGTCCACACCAATTTATCAAACTGTACTTAGTAACTTTTTCCTTTTACTCTCTATAGAAAACGAGCGCGAAAACTTCGGTTAAGTCACAGAAATGCCAATTTGGTATGAAAAGTAGACCAAAGTGCGAGAAAGGAATACAACCCAAATATTTCCTTAAAATGTTTCTACGAACCACTCAGGAACTAATTAAATTGATTTGTCACAAAAAAATGACAAGCTTTCGGCACTATGCTAAGTTTCCTTCAATTTAGCCGACACTTCTTGAAAAGGTAAATAAACCAGAAAAGCCGTGAAGTTTCTTAAAGAGAGATGTAATTCGTCTTGAAAAACTACTCGTCTAACAATGCGTCGTAATTCCTTAATGCGAATTTTTCCTAATATTTCAGCTAAACTTAGACAACATCCGCCGTCAGCCAAAATGAAACAAGAACGATTTTTTATGTGTAACGCTCAAAAATTCAAATTATCTGTTTCGCAAACAGGTGTCCAAACATAATATTAGAAATACATGTAATTTGTCGATTTTTTCGCTTGAAACTCAAATCTTAATCGGGTCTCTTCAAGATCGAAAGCAAACTTTTTTCGCTTGATTCCTTTTAAAGAAAAACTTTCTACCTAACACATCGCTGATGAGTCCAAAGTAAGGACTTTATACTGTTATCGATACTACATCAAATTCGACTCCTCCGCTCACGATGTCTACATTAATCCATACCGCCGTCCAAAACCAGGCGACAATAAGCTAGCGTGACTTTTTCGGTTGATCTCTCTAACTCGATAAGTCATTTTTCCGATGATTTGTTTCATAACTAAAAGTTAATCAAGTAACTCTATTTGCCTTTGTAACAGGGAAAAACATTCTGCGAAATGTTGGTAAACAACTGCGTGTTACTTTCAGTGGTGGTGGTATCCTATGGTTATGCGTCGTTGCTCGGTTCGACAAGTGAGGACCGCTATTATCAGCCTGGCGATATCACACTTGGAGCGCTTTTGACACTACACCACTCGAACAGTGATGGCGAATGCAATGATTTTTCCTCTCAGGGACTTGGCCAAGTAGAAGCTATGAAGTTCGCCATCGACACAATTAACAGGAACCCACGGCTGCTTCAAAACTTGACTCTAGGATATGACATTCGGGACTACTGCACAAGCACTTTAAACGCAATGAAACACACTTACGATTTTGTCCGAAAAAATGAATTGGCGTCACAATTTCAAAACGCCACGTACATTTGTGCAATAAAGAATAACACAGAACAGAATCTTTGTAGGCAGCCTGTTAAAAGTGGCTGAAATCCCTCTTATCAGTCCATCGGCAACAAGCGATGAGTTGAGCTCTCAGCAGTACAGTTACTTTTTTCGCACCGCTCCTCCCGATAAAAAGCAGGCGAGGGCAATGACCGATATAATAGATTACTTCAATTGGAACTACGTGGCTGCTGTGGCAATGGACGATTCTTACGGTCGGAATGGGGTCCGACGATTAGAGGCTGAGGTAGCCACAAGAAAGTCATTTTGTCTATCTTTCGTGGATTATATACCCAGAAAAAATTAGACAACAAAGCTAGTAAGAGCGGTGGAGAAGCTTCAATACCACTCAAATATTCGTGTCGTGGTGCTTTGGATGATAAGAGGATGTGGAGACCGATTTCTCGAAGCAGCAGCCAAACAGGGAATGTTCGACCGCACCTGGATTTTCAGCGATAGTTTGACGGCTGGACGGGAGGAGCTTATGAAAATGAAAGACGAATATAAAAGAGTTGTCCATGGGTCACTTGGTATTGAACTTCGTCATTTTGATGTTCAATATTTCCAAGATTTCTTGATCAAAGAATCCATCAAGTCCTTACAAGAGGAAAGCGCCTCTGCTCCTTGGTGGAAAGAGTTTTGGAAGCAAAAAGGTAATTCATCTTCCAATGACAGAGTTATTAGTTCGGTATACAACAGCTACATCCCCTATATGGTAGATGCCGTGTTTGCTGTTG